TAGCAGACAGTTATTTCTCTCCCATTTGGATGGCTTTGTAAGTTTTACCTTCCTTTTGTTAATTTCTAGCTTTATAATATCTGGTCTGAAAAGAAAATTGGTATTATTTCAATGTTTTTTGAATTTTTTGAGCCTTACTTCATTTGTTAATAAATGATTGATTCTGAAGAGTGTATCATTTGCACCTGAGAAGAGAGTTAATTGAGTTTTTTTGGTGGAAGGATCCTGAATACATCAACAAGGTCATACTGGCTGATTGTATAGTTAAAATTTTCTGCATCTTTATTGAGTTAATTTGAGTTGACCTATTTTTTGACAGTGATAGTAGTGTGTTGAAGTCTGGTACCACTATTGTGATGTTACAGATTTCTTTTTTCAATTCTGTTAACACTTGTTTTAGATATTTTACAATTCATAGCATCATATCCAAAGGAATAAAAATTTGATGTTGAGTCTATCCACCCTGAATTTAAAAACTTAATCAGGAGCATGTTTGAGGCCTTGTGCACTGAAAAATGAAGAGTACATGAGCTGTGGGAAAACATGATGTGTTGTGGGAAGATAACACGAATATCGTTCATTAATAATGCAAAAGGTCATTACACAGAAGGAAGAAAAAAAAAGATAAAAATGAATGCCAGATGAGACTCTAAATATAGCATTAGGGCACCAAGAAGCCAAAACAAAGGGAAGAAATTAAGAGCTTAAGGATGTGAGTAGATTTCAAAGGGCTGCTCAGGAATAATAGGCAAAGTATTATAATGAAATGTGCAAGGAGCTTGGCTTAGAAAATCAAAAGTGTTATACTCACTCAGCATTTCTTGAGCTGAAGGACCTAAAGAACAAATTCAAACCACAAGATATAATGCTTAAGGATACTAAGAGCAGAAGATTGTGTGATTCGGGAAGCATTAAAATAAGATAGAAGGAGTATAGAGTCATTGTACCAAAAAGAATTGGCTGACAGAGAAGAATTTCTAGAAATAATATCTGATCAAGAGGTAATGGTGGTGAGGGAAGAAATTTAGGCAGATCTGAAAGACTTGGCAAAAAAAAAGCCCCAGGAATTGATGAAATATCAAATGACATATTTCAACAAACAGATGCTGCCCTGGATGTGCTTAGTAAATTGTGCCAAGAAGTCTGGGGGATAACTATTTGTTCATCTTACTGGAAGAGACCCATATTTATTCCCATTTTAAAAAAAAAGTGACCTGACAGAGTGTGGACATGATTAAACACTATCACTAATATCATACACTAGGTAAAGCCTACTGAAGATTATCCAGAAAAGACTGCAAGAGTACATTAACAGAGAACTACCAGAAATACAAACTGAGTTTTGAAGAGGTCGTGGCTCTAGATGGATCTTGACAGAAAGCAAAGAGTACCAGAGGAATGTCTATCTGTGTCTCATTGACTATGCAAAAGCATTTGACTGTGTGGATCACAACAAATTGTAGCTAACCTTGAGGAAAATGGGATTATCAGAACACTTGATTGTGCATATGAAAAATCTATACTTGGGCCAGGAAAACTGTCCTCAGAACAGAGCAGGGACGCACGGCATGGTTCAAAATCAGGAAAGAAGTGCGTCAGTAATGTATCCAGTCTATATGCAGAACGGCTCATTCAGAAAGGAGGGCTTTATGAGGAGGAAGTGACATCAGGATTGGTGGAAACTCATCAACAACCTATATTATGCAGATGACCCAACTTTGCTTGCTGAAACTGAAAAAGACCTGAAGCACTTTCTGTAGAAGGTCAAGGACTGTAGTCTTCAATATGGATTGAAACACAGCATCAAGAAGACAAAGAATCTCTCCACTCAGCTAATTGGCTTCACCATGATAGGTAGAGAAAACATTGAGGTTGTTAACAATTACAGTTTGTGCTGCTCCATAACCAACACTCTTAACTCCAGCAGTCAGGAAATCAAAAGATGAAGTGTGTTAGGAAAATCTGCTGTCAGGGACTTCTCCAGAGTCCTGAAAAGCAACGATGTCAGTCTAGAGACTAAGATGTGCCTAATCCAGGCCATAGTCTTGGCAATTACTTGGTTATGTACCAAGTACCAGAGAGCTGAACAATGACTAAAGATGACAGAAGAAGAATCAATGCCTTCAAATTGTGCTGAAGAAGATTCTTGAACACACCATGGACCTCAAGGAAACAAATAAGTTTGTCTTGAGGGTATGAAACAAAGTTTCTCCTTGAAGGCTAGCATTCTGAAGCTCTGTCTCACATACTTTGGACATATGGTCAGGAGAGGCTAAGTCCTTGGAGAAGGACATCCTGCTTGGAAGGGTGGAGTGACAGCGCAGAAAAGGAAGACCCTGGGTAAGATAGTTTGATACAGTAACTGTGGCAATGGGGGTTGATGTGTCAAAAGTAGTGCAACTGGCAAGGTTTAGAGCTGTTGTACATCGTGTCACAGTTGACTTGACAGCACATAACAACAACAACAACAACAAAAATAACGAAAACAATTAAGAACATGATTTTGCATAAGTGTTGACTACATTTATGTCTTGTTAATCTATTGTGCATTTAATAAAGATGTAAAGTCCTTCCTTATCTTTTACGGTGGTTTTCATTCTGATGTCTATTTTATCAGAGATTATTAGTATTACCACTCATGCTTTTTTGACGTTGTCATTTGCTTGCTATATTTTTCCCCCCAGCATTTGATTATGAGTCTGTCTTTCTCTCCATTTGTTAGACATGACTCTTGTAGGCAACATATCAATGGGCTTTGGGTTTTTATCCATTCAACTCCACTTTTTCTCTTAATTGGTGCATTTTGCCCTTTCACTTTAAGTGTGGTTATTACCAGGCCAGGTTTTACTGTTACCATTTTGCTTTGTTTCTTAATCTGTTGTTTCTGATTTCTATGATCCATCTACTTTCCTTTGGCACCTTCTTTTCAAGGACTTCACTTAAAATTTCTTGTAGTTTTGGTCTTGTTTTCACAAATACCTTAAGTTCCCTCTTTTCTGCAAAGGATCTAATTTCTCCTTCATATTTGATGGCAAATTTCCTGGATAATGTCTCCTTGGCTGACAATTGTTTTCTTTCAGCATTCACTATATGCCGTCATATTCTAGCTCTCATGGTTTCTCATGCTGAGAAATCACTACTTAATATAATTGTTTCCCCTTTGTAGGTGACCCTTTGTTTTTGTCACACGGTTATTAATCTTCTTTTAATTCTCTTTCATATTGGAGAATTTGACCATGCTATGTCTTGATGTTTTTCTTTTTGGGTCTAGTGTATGTGGTGTTCACTGTGCTTCTTGAATGTGGTTTCCCTAATTCTTCATAATTCCTGGGAAGTTTTCTTCTAGTACTTCTTCCACGATTTTCTTTTCCCTGTCACTCCTGTGCTCTGGAATGACAATAATACATATAGTGTTCCTTTTGATTACATCCCATATGATCGTAGTCTTTTCATTTTCTTTACATCCCAACTCTGATTTTTCTGCTAGTTTCTTTCCAGTGACTCTCTTGTCTTCCAGCTCACTGACTCTCTGTTTCACCTCTTCACTTCTACCCTTTTGTCCCACCAGCAAGTTGTCATTTTGTTAATATTTTGGATTGTATTTTCATGCATTTATGTTATTTCCAGTACTGTGTTGGCTGTTCCATCTCTCTCTTGTGATGGTTTTTTAAGTTCTTGTACCTCTTTATCTATACTATCAATTCTTTCTTCCATCTCTTGTGTTTTGTTTTGGTTTTTTTTTTCTGTAGGTGTTCAAGTTGCTTTATCAAAATATTTCTTGCGGATCACTATCTCTAGGGTATTTGCTGTTTTAATGTCTTCCTTTGTTTCTTCCATCATTTGCATCTTCTTCTTTAGTTGTCAAACAAGTACACTTCAACCTATTTCTTCTGGTTTTCTTTATCTCCAGTATTCACTGGGTTGGCTTTTTTTTTTTTTTAAGAGAAGCGTTTTTTTCCCCCCCATGATTATAGAGGCAAACTGCTGCTTTCTTTACATTATGTGAGTCTTTTCTTAGTAGATGTTAGGTTGTTGTAACTATATAATCACCCAGGGTATGGCACGTTTTGTGAAGAAACTTTATATTGGAGCTTCCCTCTGTCTTCCTGAAGAGGTATGCCTGTTGCCTTCCAGAAGCCATGGCTACACCTGAACTTTTCCAATGGAGTTTAAGAAATCCCACGTGATGTAGCTAGATAGCAGTGTTCAAGGCAAAAGTACCTCTCTTCTCTATTCTATGAGACAATTCAGTGGCAGGTCCTTCACATCATCTTGTACTAGTTGCTGGTGATATATTCACAGGATTTTGCATATTGTTAATGTCTTCTAATTTTTTCCCCCCTCTTCTCTCTGCCTGCTGGCAGGTGGGTGCATAATCATTCATCTGTGACAGGAAATAAGCCTATATGGTGGCAGGAAGTGGAGGGTGGTGGCAGGCATTCCACCATCCAAGGGAGAGGGCTGTCTCTCTGAAGGGCCATGCCCTGTCTGAAGAGCTGACATAGGGGTGGGGGTGGGGGCATAAATCATTTTTCCACCAGTGAATGGAAACATGGCGATATGGTAGTTGGCAGGTGGAAGGTTGGTGGTGGGCATTCCACCCCTGTGAAATCTTTGATTCCTCATTTCATCTTTGCTGAACACTCCAAATTTCTGGAAATAAGAGCCTTTCAGAGGGGACAGTTACTTCCTCTACTAGGGTCCACACATGATTTGAACAGAGGGAATGATTACATCAGGCATTTTTCCTGCACGTGCGAAGTTTCACACTTTTTAGGACTTGGACAATCATCCCTCAAGTATCAGGAATGCAGTATGACAGGAAATTTGTACAGTACTGCATGTGAAAATGTTAGGTTGGATTTCAAAAAACAAAAGAAGCACATGTAACCTGACCATCTGTACAGGAGATGATTTGGGGAGAGTATGAAAGTCTGGTGAGACTGAGGCCCAAGTAAACATGTGAGATCCCAAGATTTCAGAATCAAGTCTTATTTGTTCTAGGGAAAAATCAGTGGCTTGCTTTGGGAGTGTAGCTCACAATTTCCCCCCCCCCCGTGAATGTTGATAGTAGATAAAGCATTTGCATGGTGACAGCATTCTGATTGTACCTGAAGACCTCACAGTCTAGAATCAAAATATTATTAAGAGATTACTGAGTGATGGCAAGACCATGCATAAAATCATACATTTCTTGTTGCCTGTAAAAACATTTTACAACATAGAGGACCACTTAGTATGAGGGCAATGGAAATGCAGATATCAGCTATGCTGGAAGAGAGCATAGGAGCATAGATCATTCTTAAAAATGGGGGCTAAGTTATCAAAATATCTTCTGTGCTGGAAATTCACAGGATGGATTAGGAAAATTCCACCTGATATGATAATCATGCCTATGGGAATGCCCATGCTTCAGGTATGTTGCTAGGATAAATATGCTTGTATACTGGATATTTTGCTCAGAGGGGCTATTCCTTACAGAGAGACCCGGCATTCAGAAAAGAAGGGGGTCAGCAAAGGATAGGAAGATCATCAACCAGATGGAACGACACAATTACTGCTGCAATGGGCTCTAATGTGTCAGAAAGTGTGAGTGTGGCACAAAATAGGACAGGGTTCAGATCTATTGTTTATAAGGTCTCTATACACCACCCTCAAGTGCAATGGCACCTATTAACAACAAAATATTTACCATAATGTCTAATTCTCATTTTTATTGGTGTTAAATTTTATATATTGCCTCCCTTCTTACTCCTTTCATTCCACTGTGACATCTAAGACACTTTTCATCCTTGCCTTATGTACACTGGATTTTTTATTATCTAGAGTATTGATACCCACATATTTGAATCAGTAAGTGATATGAGTGTATAAACCTCAGAAACACTTGAGATTTTGAAGTCACACACAGTTAAACTGTGTTTTCTTGGCTTTCACCTTATCATATTGTAGATTTCCTAGGGAAATCAAATCCTAGGTTACAGGATTCTCTTTCCATTCCAAAACCTCAGACCCCATGTTGTTGCAACGGATATGATCTGGAGGTGGGATATGGTAACAAAAATATATTTCTTGAGTTGATCTTAAATATTCTTTTGAGCCAAATAAGGGGGAACAGGTGTCCTGACTGAGGATGCACAGAGAAGACCCACTGTTGTGTGCAGAATGTTTTTGTCTCACTTCTCCACTGGCCTGCAGCACTGTGTGAGCATTAATGTTGTTGTCCCAGGCTGCACAGTAATAATAAGCCTCGTCCTCAGACTGGAGCCCAGAGATGCTCAGGGAGGCTGTGTTCCCTGACCTGGAGCCTGAGAATCGGTCTGGGACCCCAGATGGTCTCTTATCAGCATTGTAGATGAGCATTCTGGGGGTACTGTCAGAAAGCTGCTGGTACCAGGATGGATAACCACGCCCAACATTATTGCTGCTTCCAGTGCAGGAGATTGTGACTGTCTCCCCAACAGACTTGGACATTGCAGATGGCTGAGTCAGGACAGACTGAGCCAAAGACCCTGAAAGTCAAGAGAGACACGAGGTGAGAGAGGTAGATTCAGAGTAAAAGACAGTTCTCTGGTCTTTCCATCCCCTGCTCTAGTTGCCGGACTGGACACACCTGAGAAGTGAATAAGGAGTGTGAGAAGGAGAGAATCCCAGGCCATATTGTTAGCCTCTACAAAACTCTTCTTTCTTTAAATCTTAGCTGGGCCTGAGCTCCCCAAGTTCCTCTTATCTTCCCCAATAGCAGATAGGAGGCCTCTTTATGCAAAACAATGAACTCCCCTCACATGCTAAAACATCACCACAGAAAACTTATCCAGGGTGGGGTTGGGTTTGGAGTTGAAGGTGATCTGTGGTTATGGAGGCCTGTGATGTCACAAATCTGAAACCCAGTGAGCATCAGGCAGAAGGCATCAGAGGAGAGGCTGGTGGGTGGCTCTCAGCTGCAGGACACAGACACGCAGGGATAGGACACAGCGCCCTCTGCTGCCTGAGGCCTAGACATACAAGACAAGGCACACTGCAAAACAAAGCGGGATATTACATTGAAGGAAATATTTGCAAAAGCGGAGGAAGGGATGCCTTGAAACAATTTTCAAAATTAGAATTGTCATAATATTTTATCAACTATACTTCTAGTGTGTTAAAAAGAAAGATCATGCAACAAACTGATTTTAATTTAGATGAGTGAATAAACAGTGTTACTACTTCATTTTGGGAAAAGATGGGCAATCTCCTCCTGTATGATTAACTACCTCAGAAAACCCATTGGATGGTTAGCTATGGATCGGTTCCAAGTAAATGGTAAACAACGACAACAACAGCAAACTTCTTAGTTTAGTGGATCTAGTCTTATCATCCTTAAGATGGACTTGACACATGGCTGATCTTTGAGTAAGTTTTCTGTGGCCATAAATTAAAAGGAGGAGATGACCCATCTTCCTCTCCCAGAGTAGCTGGTGAAATCAAACTACCTGGGAGGCTCCACATTTGGGTTACAGTATAATTCTTAAGGGCTACACCACCTGACTCCATTAGTTTTATATAGAAAAAGGAAATTGGCTGTCTTTTCTACTTATAAATCATTCATCACCTGGGCACCTCCCCATCTCTAGGTCCTGAAACAGGAGTCTCACTTATTCTGTACCGGAAGGCTGAGCTACAGATTGTCTCTGCTTTGTTTTCTCCCAATCTCAGAGTCTCAGAGATGAGAGCTGCTTGGTACAGCACAGAAGGATGCTCATGTCCACTGTCATCTGTGGGATGACACACATTAAATCTTGGGGATGAAGTAGTGTCTCTGAGCTCAAGCATTGTGTCCCTGGGAATTTGATTCACTTTATTTTGCTCATCATGCTATCCCTTAGCCCCCAGTGAGCAAACCCTCATCAACTCGACTCTTCCTTCCATAGGTATACCTATGAGATTGTCAGTGGAATCCATGATAGGTATTCGATATTTTAAGAATCTAAGGGGACAGCAATAAAGAGCAGGACAAATTAAAACACCATGTTTTGGAAAGAGACAGATTATTCTATGAACGCTCTTGTTATCCATGTGTGGTAGAAAAGTCTTAAGGAACAGCCTCTGACAAGTTTGAGACAAGAATGATGTTATAGGAAATTTTCCCAACAGTGATTTGGGCACGTCAGTGTGTGATGGAGATTCTTCAGATCTCAAATGACACTCTGGTGAAATGGAAAGGACAAAGCTCCTTCTATAGAGTGGAAACATATTAATGTGTACAGTGTCTAACAATATGTTCTACACAACTTTAAAACACAAAAGACTAACAAAATGATGTTTGATGCTCTTAGCAGTAAAATTGATTCCATCAGTGACTCCAATCTCATTCAAGGGGTCTGAGATTGAAGCAGTAGATGTTGGTAATCCCAAGTGACTCACTTGTACAAGATGGATTCAATCAAAAGACCTTTTATAATCAGTATGGCCTCAGCCTTGTTCACATATAGGTCTTCTTCTTAGAGCTAAGTGGCCTCAGCTCTAACGTTAGCTGTAGAGTGGAATGACAGCATAGAGCACAGAGAGAAGGTGCTTTCCACAATGTAGCAATCCCCAGATCTTATCCAGGATCACAGCTCTACCTACTGCCTCCTGGGCTCTCTGCTCTTTACTCTTCCTCTACCCACATGTGGTTCAGGTTAGACAGGACCTGTGGTTCCCGGTGTCCTATAAGTGGAGCCAGGGAGAGGAAGAGAGGAGAAGACATGGAGAAGTCCTAATCCACATCTCCAGATAGACTCACCAAACTGTACCCTTTCATCCCCACAGCAGACACTACAGTGGTCATAAGTAAAGAATATATCCAGGGAGCTGAGGAGCTATTCATTGGTTCTGAGATCTTCATGCTCTTTCTTTATCCATACTGTACATTAAGAACCTAGAGTCTGATGAGGCATGTAGTAAGGGTCTGTGTATGCTGTGAGAGGTGAACCAACTTCATTTCATTCTCCTTTGTCACATAACACTGGGCTCTGTGTCCCTGGTTTCACCATAAACCTCTCCTGGTTTAATTTGAAAACGCCACATTAAGTCTTGCTGCAAATAATAAAATTTTAAGGTAGATTTAGAGTAAATTAGAATATTGTTCCCTCCAGTGAATCTGAGATTTTAACTTTTGGGTAAACAAGGGAGAGCAATTATTTTGGCAAAGAGATTGAGAGCTCCAACAGGAAGTTTTGCTGTTGGGCCCAGTGACATCATTAAAGGAGTATGGGGGATGGACCACACAAGGTAATGCATAAATGAATATCTATAATACTGCTGTGCAGGTTTTCAAGAGAAATTTATTATCCATCATGAAACTATCTTTATAGTTCTTTGCAACAATAACAGAATTTTCATAAGCCCAGATTGCTTTATCAATGTACTACCAAGCAAGAATTCTACACTCTTTGCTTTGGGGCCATTTACTGTGCTCCTGTCAGAGTTGTCAATACTTCTCCACCACCATTAATCATGGTTTATTGGTCCACTTCCAAGATGGTTTTTTTCCTATATATTGATATATAATGAAAGTGAAGTTAAGATTTTATATCTTTTGTGAAATTATGTGCTACAATGTATTTTGATTGCACATTTGATCAAATTCATACTACACAAGTGAGCATTAATCTTCCATGTCTCTGTCTTTGTCTTGAATTTTTAATAATAGCCTTGTTAGATAATCTGAATTGTACACTCTTAGATGGAATAGATCTATGTTCACAATTATTGTTATATTTTCTTTATTGGTAACAACAATTGCCTCCTTATTACATCCCAGTAGAACTTAAGAGATCTAAGCCCAGTTATTCTCATGGTTTTTTATGTGGGAATGTTCTCTTGTATATCTAAATGGAGAGACACATGTTCTGATGATTCTGCTTAATGGGGATGATATGGGGAGTGAGTGAAAGTCATCTGAGGCCATGTTTGCATGTGGGATCCCAAAGTCTGGGTCAAATTCTTGCTTCTCCAGAGAAATAAAGTGTCTTGTTTTTCATGTCTCTTACTTGCTCTTGTTGTCAAGTCAGAAGCAATTCCCATCTGATCATCCACCAGGTTTTCAGAGGCTGTGTGAAAGCCATGAGAGGAGATTGCCCAGCTTCTTCTGTGTTGGCAGCACAACTCCTCACTCAGCAGGCCTTCAGAGCTCTTGGACAGGTAAGGAGACATGGTGGAAATCAAACCTGTGAATAGATGCCCATTAGGAAAATGTGTGATTGGAGACCAAAAATGAAGTCCAGGATTAAATGGCATATTCTATACAGTGTTCATAAAATGATGTTGTAACACAGAAGAATGTTTCCTGTCCTGATGGATCATGTGGAAAGACAAACCTTTCTCACAGATGAGTGCTGAGTTAACAATTGTCTGATAAAATGGAAACTCACAGTGTGGGTTAGGAGGCTAACTCTTGATCTGTCAATCATCTGGCTAGGGAGCAAGGATTACCAGGTATGTTTGTCTCACTTCTTCTCTGCCTGTGTCACTATGGTTACACGTAGCTGCTTCCAATAGTACAGGGTGCCCCATAGAGGCGGTCAGCTTCCTCCTATAACTGAATGTCCTAAATGTTCAGGTCTCATTTCTCTTGAATCCAGACATACTGCTGTTTCTCACTCATATCACAAATTTGGGACCTTGTCCCAGGCTTTGCTAGTAATGCTCAAATGGTAGTTACTGTCACCACCTCTCAGGATGCAGGTGACCTTGGATGTTTGTCCCAAGAAGAACAATGCGGAGGCCTGGTGAGTCAGCACAGGCTGTTTAGGACGAATACCCCCAAAAAATATATTTATTTAGACAAAAACAAACAAAGCAACAAAAAGCATACCCCAGAGATTCTTGAGTGATGTGGGAGGACTAAGGTTTCATTTATTGAGTTCTGAAGGGACTGACACTAGTGTACCTGCCCTGAGGTCTCTGAGGTCTGCTCCTAGTTGTGCAGTGGGAGAGGGGAATGGGGAGAAGAGGGATCCAGGCCACAGTGGATACAACCTTGTTAGGATCCAGGTCTGGAGTTGGGATGTGCCAGGCTACTGTTATCCCATCCATATGGATTTAGGAAGGAGGACTCCCTTGGCTAACCCAGGTCCTCTCATCTCCTGACTCACACATCCTAGACAACTGGTCTACACTGAGTGGGGCCTGTGAATAGGAAGTGTGCCTGCGGTGCTCTAGTTGCCCTGGGTTGATTTCTGAGTGGAACAGCTGCAGGGACCACACAGGCCTTGTGCAATAGACCCAGAAAGGACACAGTGACTGAGTGAATCTTCACAAAAAAGCACCTGCTTAGACTTCAGCCTCCAAACAGTTGAGCACCACCAGCTGTGAGGATTCATTTCACAGGAACATCTGTCTCACAGCCTACCTCACAGTGCCCCTGTCTGTTTCTGATCAAACCTTTAGTTCTAGATAGAACAAAACTCAATTTTTTCTTCTTTTAAACTGACTTCAAGTCTCACTTTCACATTGATTCCTTGACTCTTGTGGTTCCAACATTTAACAGTGGACCTGTGTGATATGATGAAGATGAGATCCTGCTGTAACCATCACTGATGGCCTTCCTCTGCCCATGTGGACTGCTGGTCAGTAGAGAAGGAGAACGAGGGATCATGGCTTGCAGAGAGTGTGTGAACTGCCCAGAAGGATGATGATCTAGGAACAGAGAGCAGGACATGTCTCTCCACCCGAAATCCACAGAGATCTGAGGAAGTGGAAGGAAGTGGTTGATGCAGAGGTAAACTGCCTTTATGGAAGTGAAAATAGACATTTCCTTCCAAGGAGGATCAGAGAGGAGATGGAATAACACTGATATTACTGCTACAGAGTCTTGAGAACAAAGCCTATCTAGGATGACAGAGGGAGTGAAGGTACCACGGGGACTTTCCCTTCACTATCTAGGAATACTTATAGTCATGCATATGATTGCTCTCACTTCTGAATTTAATTTCTGGGGCATAGCGTCTATTTCTTGGCAAATTCTAAGGAATACATGACCATAGGAGATTTACA